GGCGAAACCGTCTCCGCCAGGCTGAGCAGAAATTCCGTGAAGGACCTGAAAAGAACGCGAGGCTTGAAGAGGCCCTGCGTGATTTAAAGAGCAAGTTGGACCAGCTTGCGCTTATGACAAACTGCGCTCGCGCAGTTTGTTGAGGCGAAAGCAGCCAGCGCCAGTGCCTGAGGCAAACCTGGCAGCTGCCATATGACGGGGTCTCACTGGCGCTGTCCAGCTGTATCTCTTTTCCATTGGCATGGGGCAATGCCGGAAAAAAAGAGAGCAGCTGCGCGTGCACGGCCTTTTGCTTCTTGCTTATCGGCTGCTAAGGTGGCCAACGATTGTAACCAGTAGGCTGCCAAGTTCCCCTGCTGCATGTTTCTGCCCAAGCGGATCCCGCCCCTTCCCTCTTGACTTTCTTCTTTGGGGTCCTTTTGGCCATGCAGCAACGCAAGTCAAGTTCAAGCCACCTCGGAGTAAGAGCGCATCCCAAAATTCTTCCCCCCCTCCCCCCTCTCCCCCTCCCTCCCCAAGATTTTTGGCAAAATCACCTTTCCGAAAAACGACTTGTTTTATGCACACCCGAAAAAAACAAGGTTTTCGGTCCACAAAAAGCACCCAAAAAAAGGCCTAAAAAGCATGTCCTTAATGACCGGCCAGAAACATTGCAACGACATTTTTCAGGAAATGCCGCGACGCCGGCTTTCCCGCCTACCCATCCAATGCGATGTGGTTTGGCTGCTCCAAGAAGAGCTCAAACGGTGGTGTCGTCGGCATCGAAAGAGGCGGACACCAATTCATGGGTCTTGTGTCGGCGTTTACCGACCTGAATTCGATCCTGAGGCGCGAATACGCCATGAATGACGGTCATTGCGGCTCTGTGCGTGGAACTTTGCGCAAAAAGGAAGCTGGACGCCGTTGGTGATGTTTTCAGCATACCTGAGGCCGGGAGACGCCATGTCTGCAAAAAGTGGATTTGATTCTTCCAATGCCAAGGTCCAGACATTTTTCCTTGCCCCTTCATCTGCTCTCAGAGATCAGCAATCAAAAGTAGGGCTCAGCGACGAGTCTCTGATGCTGGATTCTCCTCTTTCACCTTGATTGGGAAAAGCGCCGCAGGCAAGGGCAACTCGTCCGGTTTTTCTTATCAACCTCAGCTACTCACAGCTGCTGGCAGATTGGAAGTGGGCTCTGCAAAAGCTGGCCCCAGCCACGACCGCTGGATGCAGCTCAGGATGTTACGGCCGAGGTGAAGCAAAGAGGGAGATTGGCTGCAAGCGATACAAGTCGCACACACGGATCTCGCAGATGTTTCACCAGCTTCCAAAGCCAGTCCAGGCACGATGTCTCGGTCTGGAGCAAAAGTTCTCGGTGGTGGTCCCAAGGTGTTTCAACCTCCCGCCCGCGACGCTTTGTTCTGGAAGTTTTTTCTGGCTGCGCGGGTCTGTCAAAAGCAATGGCTGAACATGGCTTCTATTCTGTTGCCTACGACAAGACTTATGGTGCATCTTGCGATCTTCTGGACCCTGCAGTTTTCCGGCGACTCATGAGTTTCATCACAAAACATTCTCACGAGCTTGCCTTAGTGTGGTTTGGCACGCCGTGCGATTCCTGGTCGCCCCACCGCTGCGAGATGATGGCGCAGGTCTATTTGGGCTTCAGAATCTTCACCCTGTAGAGTGCGAAAAAGTGGCATTAGGCAACCAACTCCTAGATTGCACGCACAGTCTAGCAGCTGTGCCACGAGTTGGGCTTGGCATGGGTGATCCAAAACCCTTTCACATCTCGCATTTGGCTCACCCAGCACATGGCTGGTCCAACCAAGCCGGGCGCGTATGTCAATGCTCTAAGGGCCGATGCTCCTTCACTGGGCGTCGCCACATCATTCTGGCTGGAAGGGACTCTGGTGGGATGTGGCTGACGCGCAGGGCGCAGCCTTGCCCGCCCGCCTTGTGCGCGCTGGTTGCGCGGCTGCTCAGCACCCAGTTGGAAGTGGAGTAAGGTACAGTACATTTCTTGCAGATGGATACGGGTGTGAATTTGACTGCAGCCTCGGATGAATCAAACAATCGGACGTCCACGCTGCGGTTTTGATTTGCACTGGCATCGTCGATGATATGCGATGCTGCTGATTCTCTTTGAACACAATGGCATGTCGTTAAAATTCCGACGCTGCTGATTCTCTTTGAACACAATGGCATGTCGTTGCCTCTTGCAAGAAACAATGCATTGTGCTTTGCTGGCCAAGTCGCAGTGATTCATGAACATGATGATGATGAAGATGATGATGACGGTGGTGATGATGATGGTGAACATGATGATGAAAATGATGATGATGAACATGATGATGATAATGAACACCACCATCATCACTTTCATCATCACGTTTATCATGATCATCATCCATCATCATTTTCATCATCATGTTTATCATCCTGGTGATAATCACCACTACGCATCCTCATTATCACCAGCATTTAATGTCATCACTATGCATCCCCAGCTTCTGCAGCAGTTATCATGACAATTATCACAATGCATCCTCTGCATCTTCAGTCGTCTAACGGCACACTTGAAACATATATGAAAAAGATGATGAACATGATGAGGAACATGATGATGCAAATCATGATGATGAGGATGAACACAACTCATCATGTCTCATCATCATCATCATCCTGTTGATAATCATCACTACGCATCGTCAGCATCACCAGCAGTTATCGCGACAATCAACGCAACGCATCGTTTATGAAAAAGAAGTGCAAATGATGATGAAGATGATGATGATGAGCCTGATGACGATAAAGGATCCTTATCATCATCATCATCATGTTCATCATCATGTTCCTCAGCATGTCTCATTCATCATCATCATCATCCTGATGTTCCACATCATGTTCCTCATCATGTTCATCATCACCATCATCCTGAAGCAGCTCTCATGAAAATCAACACAACACATCCTCTGCATTTCCAGCCGGGTCTATCGGCACAATTGAAGCGTATATAGAAAAGAAGAGCGACGATGAACATGACGAGGAACACGATGATGCAAATGATGATGGTGATGATCATGATGAACATGATGACGAAAATCATGACGACGATGATGATGATGATGATGAAATTTGATGACGATGATGAACATGAATATGAACAGGAACATGATGAAGAAGAACACCACCATCATCACTTTCATCATCACGTTTATCATGATCATCATCCATCATTTTCATCATCACGTTCATCATCCTGGTGATAATCACCACTACGCATCCTCATTATCACCAGCATTTAATGTCATCACTATGCATCCCCAGCTTCTGCAGCAGTTATCATGACAATTATCACAATGCATCCTCTGCATCTTCAGTCGTCTAACGGCACACTTGAAACATATATGAAAAAAGAGAGCCACGGTGATGATGATGATCCGGATGCTGTGAGCCATCATCCAACACTTCCCATGCACGTTGTACTACTCACTCAGTTCTTGCTGTGTACTCTGTTCATGCACTCTTCAGTCGATTTATCTTGTTCAATGTTTTTTCATGTTCACTCTGTACACTCGATTGTTGTTTTCTGATCATTCCGTGTGTTCTTTCTTGTTCATTCAGCTCAATTTGTCCATCAAGCTCTTGCCTGCATCCTGTTCGTGTTAAATCTGCTTTTTCTGTATTCATTCTCTTGAACTGGTTTTATTCATTTCTTTCTGCTCCTTGTTAATTTTGTTTTTGCTACGTATTCTGTATTCAGGTTGTTCTGTTCGTGTTATTCTGTGCATTCAACTCATTCAATCTTTTCTGCTCGTTTCATTCAGTTCATTCAGTTCATTCTGTTCTTTGCGTCTGCTCGTGCTCAGTTTGTTGTCTCACTTTGTTTTGTTCGTTATGTATGGTCAGAGTGTTCTGTTCATGTTATTTTGTTCATTCCGTTCCTTCAGTTTTAATCAGCTCCGGTTCTCCTGTGAATTTAGTTTAGTTCTTGCGTTTTCTGTGAGTTAAGGTCATGTCCGGCTTTTTGATTCAGTTAGCTAAGAGTTATTCTGTTCATGTCCAGCTTTTTCGTTAGTTCATTCCCTTTGCTCTGTTCATGATGCTTACATTCATTCAGTCGTTCTGTTTGTGTACATTCTTTCAAGGAGTGTCTGTTCATGTAGTTCATTCACTTCTTTCTGTTCATGTGGGATCTGCTTACTCTCTTATTTTTGCTCACTATTTTCGTGTTATTCTGTTCACTCAGCTTTTCTCTGTTCAGCCGTTCAGCCTGTTCTTGCTCAGCCAGTTGAATTTGTTATCCGGTGGGTTCTGTCTCTTTGTTATTGCTCACGCAGTTAACGCAGTTTTCATTCACTTCATTTTCATGTTCTTCACTTCAATCAGTTCTTTCACTTTGATATGTTCATGAGCATTTTGCTCATGTTTGTTCTGTTTGTTTTCTAGTCACGCAACGCAGTTCATGCGCATGTCCATTCTGTCAATTCAGTTGGTTCACTTTGTGTTCATGCGTGTACACCCAGCTCATAAACTTCAAGTTCATGTTTCTTTTTCTGTTCATTCAGTTCCTTCAGTTCGTAGTCATTTTGTGGTGAGTTTACTCTCCTGTGTATTTGGGTCGTTCTGTTCACTCTGTTCATGCTCAGCTCAACCAGTTCAAGCAGTTCGTTCTGTTCATGTTCATTTTATCATGTTCATTCAGTTCATTCAGTTCGTTCGGTTTGTTCAGTTCCTTCTGTTCATTTGGTTCTTCTATCATGTTCATTCAGCTCATTCTGTTTCATGGCATTCACCTCCTCTTGTTCATCCAGTTTGTTCAGTTTGCGGTTTGTTCGGGCATTCAGTTTTTTCCGTGTATGTTCATTCTGTTCAGTCGGTTCATGCTTGTCTTGCTTGCTCAATTATATACTTCAGATCATTTCACTCGCTGTATTCAGGAGGTCACTTCTTCCGTTCCGTTCATTCAGTGCTGTCCGCAAATGTTTGGCCAAACTTGCAGGGCGCACTTGCTCGCAGGCGGAGCGCATGAGGCGTGGAGTGCAAATCCTCGGTCAAGCAGCGGCTGGGGACACCAGGCGAGATGCATGCCCCTGTCACAGTGCCACGCGATGTTTGCCTTTTGCCTTTTTGCCTTCTTGAGAGGTGTGCCTTTGAAAGCCGCTTTCGTGATGCAGTCGGAGCAGCCGGCAGGGCTCTGAAACCTGGATCGCTTGATGCTCACCTTGGCGCAGGCGATCTTGGATTGACTTTCAGCTTGGTTCTGGATCTGCGCCCATGGGTTGGCAAGAAGGCGTGCGCCTGCGTATTGAGAGAGAGAGACAGAGAGAGAGAGAGAGAGAGAGAAAGAGAAAGAGAAAGAGAAAGAGAAAGAGAAGCGAGCAGTTCTCCGATGTGCCATTTAGCGTTTGCTATTTCGAGGTTCAGTCGCCCACTGTCGACTGCGTGGAGGAAGCCTTGAGTTTGCGGCGCCGGCTCACGGAGGCCTTGTTGCCTTGTTGATGAGCTGCGAATTGCAGAGAATTCTCACGAGGCCGCAGCAGCGGGATGGCCAGCATTGCGCCGCGAGTGGCTGTCTTGGCCCGGAGCCAAGATGCGATCCGGAGAGATTCTCATGCCGCTTCGGGGTCATTGCGCCAAAGATGCAAGACGACGCGCAAGAGATGTCTGACACGCGAGATGCAAGAGAATGCCCGAAGAGATGCCTGACGTGAGAGAGATGCCCTCGGACTCTGAGGATGACAGCGGAGCGACGTCAGAGGTGGAAGTCCCGGAAGCGCACACAAGATCAGGACGGCATGGGCGCATGCGGCACCACTTCAAGCGCGTGC